CCTCTTTTTTTTTCTTGTTTTGTTTTTCCTAGAAACATAACAATTTGCACCGTGTCAACATATTTTACGTTACCTACAAATATCGGCACCAAAATCACGACATGGGCCGAGAAAAAACCAAAATGTCAGATTTATGCAGAGCTTCTTTTATTTCGCACTACTGCAAGGTTTGGCAAAAAGATTTCAGCGCTTTCAAAGTAAATGCACTTTCCCTCCAAACCGATTAAAAAGTAGAAGAAGGATCTAATTTAAGCTGGCATCAAATTATATTTAAAGATAGAAAACAAAAAACAACAACACCCCCTCCCCACAAAGAACAAAGAAAGAAACAGATGCCACCACTAGCACACAGAGAACGTGGCGCGCGGGAGGTACACAACAAGTGGGGGAGTTGAAATCCCGTCTTGTTGAGACTCGCCTACTATATCTGTCCCCGTGGCTTCATGCACCCCGCATAATTTAGCAAAATTCGATCTTTTTTATTTGCGCATAATTTCTAAATATTGTCCTTTGTAATTCTTTGTTCAGATTAACAGAATCGCATTATTTCACATTTTTGGGCTCAGTTTGCATAATTTCAGAAGTTTTCTTGCATAAAACGACGAGGACAGCTATATATGCCTCCAACAGCACCACGGGACGTGTGGTCGGAGGTCTAGTCCAATGATTATAAACACCGTGTTTATGGTCTCTGGTCCAGTCTGTTTGACTGACGCACCTTTCCGTCATCAAACAGGACCAAGTACGGATTGCCTGGTCCTAATCAGTACAGGTAATAAAACAACAACAAAGGGCCAAGAGCTGGATGCACAACGACTATAAACATGCCACTAACAAAGCCTTATCAGTGGACCAAACCCCTTGGGATCGCGGGAATAGCCCTGTCCTACTTTTACGATTGTTTCCATAGAAAATTACTGGGTCAACATGAGGCACTGTCGCTTACTTTTTCAGCACGTTCAATTAGATGTGTGACTAGAGAGTGGAATAAAGAAAAAGAAGGATGAGAGAGAGAGAGGAAATCGGGGGAGGAGAGAGAGAGAGAGAGAGAGAGAGAG